CCGCCTTCTCCTCCACCCCGCGACTCAAGGCAGGCCAGGGGCAGCTCTCCCCGCCGCCCGGTGTGAGCTGCCGTCTAGGAGGCAGGAGTTGGGATCCTAGACTCCGAGAGCTAGAAGGGACTTCGAAGGTCCTCTAGTCCAGCCCCCTGCTCAAGCAGGAGACCCCACCCAATTCCCCACAAACGGCTGCCTTCTCTCTTCTTGGAAACCTCCAGGGATGGAGACCCCGCAACTTCTGGAGGGAAGCTGGTGAATTGTTCTCCCTGTCAGGAAAGTCCTCCGTAATTCTAGGCTGCTTCTTCCCTGGATTGGCTTCTCTCCATTGCTTCTTGTCCTGCTTTCGGGCGCTTTGGTTAGGTCCCCCTTCTTTGTGGCAGCCCCTCAAATTCGGAAGAGAGCTCTTGTGTCAATCAGGAAAGGAGAAGTATAAATTTCAACCTCCGTATAGTTAAAGAATAAATGTAAAGATTAAAAAAAACCGTGTTTAAGCAATAAAGGAATGATAGCAAGGTTGTTTATATGTGTACAGGTACACTTAAGCTCCCAACTGCAACAAGGGAATATAGGTCTCTATCTACCACACTCTGCATGAGCAGCCCCAGGATAAAGTCAGCAAACATCAGGCTCCTGAAAGTCCTTCTCACTTCTAAACTAGCCAGCAACTAATCTGTCCTAACACTTCTGCATATACAGCTCAGAGTTTGACCGGATATTATTCCTTTGCAATATTTTACAAACAGAATATTTAAATGCTGCCCATGGCCTCAGCGACTTTGAGCAGCTCGCCAAAAAGTGATAGATGAAAGCAAAAAAATATAGAAAACAAACCTTAAAATAGCGAACGGCTCTAACATTAAAACAACCCACAATTTTAAAAAGCAATAAACATTAACTTCTCTCATATTCTAAGATTCCGTTCTATGTGTCTTTATTAAATGTAAGGGCTGCCCAACTCCAGAGGATTCTGGGAGGTTCATATGTTGACAGTAAGAACAATAAAATAAAAAGGAAGTCTTTCAGAGGGAAAATCACAACGCCACAAAAAAAATCTGCCAGGAGCCCAGCATCTGCCCTCCTCTCAGGCCTGAACACAGTCAAATTTCCAGAGACTTTCGGAACATCCTCAGAGTGGCAACTCTGCAGACCCCTGGGAGAAGGCTCCTCTGAGGAGAAGGCCTGGGTCCCAAGCGGCTGCATTGTGGAGCTGGCTGTAGTCCCCCCACCCTCACTGAACATGCGGGTGTCCAGTGGAGCTGGGTTAGCATCAGTTGTTCTCTACTAGCCATGCAGACAGAGGTCCAACCAGGAGCTTGCCAGAAATATAGATATATAGTTGAATATCAGTATATTGATGATAATTAGC